GGCAGAAGGAGAGGGAAAAGCAGGCTCCTGGCCGAGCAGGGAGCCCGATGTGAGGCTGGATCCCAGGGCCCTGGGATCATGACCTGAGCAGAAGGCAGACACTTAACCGACTGAGCCACTGAGGCGTTCCTAAAATCTTTTTTTTTTTTTAATGTAATTTTCAGAAAGGTAAAGGCATGACTTTCAAATAAATACAAAATGGGCATGTGTCAAAAATTTTAACTCATTAATGAATGAGGAAACCAAGAGGTTGTCAAAACTGGTTTAAAAGGGAATCTGAAGAGGACACATATAGGAAATCAGGAGTGCTGAAATCTGAAAACTGGATGCAGAACTGGTCAGTATCCTACAGAGCAAGAAAACATGATATTGAGAATCCTCTTTTTCACACGTTGGAGGGGAAAATGTAGTGGTAAAATAGCCTAGTTGAAGACAACAGCACAGAGACCCTGTAGAATTGGGTAGCTCCAGAGGACCTGCTCTCTGTGCTCAGCCTCCTGCTGGAAGCACAGCCTGTTAGCTTCTTTGCACGTCTCAAAGTCTTTCACGGTTTTTCCCAACAAGCAAAAGAAGTTCCTGTCCTCATGGAACTGATTGTTCACCAAGCTAGTTTCTAACAAACATATAGTAACTTTAATAAGAGAAATGTACAGGCTGACATTGAATTTTTTCACCAAAAGGTAAAATGATTTTCCTAAGATCATCTCAGAGATTTTTTTATCAGTTAAGGAGGGAACCAGTAAGATATTACCTTGTTCAAAAGAGGACTCAAAGCAGCACACATTTATAGTCCGGGAAGGATTGCTGAAATGAATTTGCCAACTGACGGAAACTGGCAAAGCTGTCAGGACACCGAGGAAGCAACCCATTTGCATTGGTGGGACATGACCTGCTTTTCTAGAGACAAGAATTACTGGCCTTACTGTCTGTTTTCTGCCAGTTAAGTTCTGTCCCTACAGAGTTGTAAATAGCCTCATCAGAGACAGAGAAAGGCACACACCCCGTAAGATCAGATCATCTCTGGAGGCGCCAGCACTGCCATCAGGGATCTCCTGTGATCTTGTTTGCCCAGGGCAGATCTTCCGCACTTGTACCCGCGGGGCCGAGTAGAAGAGTCGGGAGAGAATGCCACTTGAACTAAGCCGTGGGAGAAGGTGCGGACTCTGAAGATGGGGTTAGGGCCTTCCAGGTAGATGGAAGAGCACATATGGAGGCCCTCAGAGGGCAAAGGGCTTCGAGGACAGGGAGGGCCCGTGCGGTGTCATGTGACTGGACAGGAGTGAGCCAGGAGGCGAGAATGTGAGGGAGAGGACTGCAGGGGGCCTATCATACAGAGCCTGAGGGAGGAGTCTGGAGCTCCTTCCAAGCACAGTGGGCACTGGCAGAGTTTTAAAGGAGGAAGTGTCCTGCTCTAACTTGAGTTTTGTTAAACATCTCTGGTTGCTATGGGAGGAGACTGGCGAGGAGGCCATTGCCGCGTCCAGGGCAGAGCTGATGAGCTGTGCGGCCGGGGAGAAGGGCCTGGATGCCCAGCTCATGGCTGGAATCCCCACCCCCCCCATTGGCAGCCCCCCCGCCGCCCAGACACATTGCGGCTGGTTAGGCCTTTGTGGTTCCTATGATTGATTGCAAGATGCACCTCAGCAACAACCATCAGGAAACTGGAAAAACAAACAAAACAAAAAAAACCCAGATTTGTTACTCACAAGCCCTGAAGGGGACATGGTATGCCTTAGGACCACCCAGTGAGGTCTCGGGGAGTCAGGGAAGAGCGCCGACCAGGGCTCTACCTTTACTAGAGTCCAAGCCAGAGAAGGCTGGGGTCTCACTGTTTACTGGTGAATTTAAACAAAGAGTGGGAATTAGGGTGCGGGAAGGGAGAAGTGGGGTCATTCAAAGGGCCAATTATCTAGCTCACCCAGGGCTTTCCACAAGGGTAATGGACTGGCTCCTTGTCTAGTTGTAACTGGTAGCTTTGTCGTGCAGCTGGTGGTACGTTTATTCCAGATGGATGTCTTTGAAATGGATGCCCTGCGATGTGCGATCCTGCTACAAATACACACTCTGGTCTCTGCCCCCAGTGCCTGACCCAGAGCTCCTAAATCCCTTGGGATTTCCCGGGTGGCAGGGGTGTCTTTTGTTTGAGGAGGTAACTCTTGGTGGGTTCTGGATAGCTCTAGGATGGAGGCCGGTCACCAGAAAGACCAAGCCTCCAGGGGACGGGAAGGGGCTGGAGATGGAGTGAATCATCGTTCACGCCACGTGATGAGCCTCCATGAAAATCCCTAAAGTATGGGGTTCAGGAAGCTTCCAGGTTGGTGAACACGTCCACATGCTGGGAGCATGGCGCACCCCAACTCCACAACACGGTAGCTCCTGCATTCAGGATCCTTCCTGATTTTGCCCTATGTGCCTTTTCATCTGGCTGTTCACCTGTATCCTTTATTATATAATAAATTGGTAAACATAAGTGTTCCTTGAGTTCTGTGAGCCATTCTAGCAAATTATTGAACCTGAGGAGGGGTCCTGGGAAGCCTGGACTTCTAGCCATGTCGGACAGAAGTGTGGGTGACCTGAGGACCTACTACCGGATTGGCACGTGAAGTCCAGGGGATCTTGTGAGGCTGAGCCCTTACCCTGTAGGGTCTGCGCCAAGTCCAGTTGGTGTGTGAATTGAGTTAAATCAGAGGACACCCAGTTGGTGTCCACAGAAAATTGGAGAACTGCTTGGTGAGCAAAATCCCACACATCTGTTGTCAAAAATCATTCTGCGTGTACAGAGTAGTTTTTCCTTCTCAGTTGGATATGGGTGGGGAGGCACAGGATGAATCTGGGATGGCTCGCCTTAGGGCTGGATCCCCCAGGTGGATGGTAGTGCTCTTTTCTGAGGTGGGGGTCTGGGGGTGTCAGGGTTCGAGGGAATGTCAAGGTCTCCTAGTTGGAGATGCCCCTCAGGAGTCCCAAGTCCTCAGCACCCAGATGGGCTTAAAGGATGGGCAGTGATAGTAGAAGTGGGTGCCTCATACCTTACTAGGTGCTCTGGACCTCCCCCTCCCCCGACTCCCAGCACAGACAGGGGTCCCCATCCCAGCCGCCGCCCTATGCCCCAGAGCTGTCTGTCTTCCTGGCTGGAGAAACCACACCGACTTAACCCAGAAGCCATTCATTAGCAGTAACCAGCAGTCACCCGTTGCCCTAGAGGGGTGAGGAGGAGGAGGAACGTGGTTGGAGGTGGCTCTCCACCCTGCGGGGGAGGCTGGGGCTGGTTTTCCATGCTTCCTCTCTGTAGGCATGACTCGTCTGCGCAGGTCACCTGGGGGGCTGGGTCACATCTCCGTAGGAAGCCCTGAAGGAAGGCTGGGGGGACCTGCAGCTCCCAGCTCTGGGACCAGCTCCCCTTGGGAACTGGACTGGGGCCCCTCATTCTGCACCTGCCCTCAGACGTGTCTGATCCTATGCAGCATTCACTTCCTTTCCATAAGCCCTTGGCCATGACTTCTGACCTCAAGACTGAGGTCCTGCCCCCTCTCCTTGGTCTGTGAGTCACTGATATGTCACCAAGAGTGCTGGGAGCTGCCCAACCTGGTGATGGGTAACCAGCCGAGTCAGCTCAGCCAGCTTGCCCGATGCCCTCTGCCCTTCTTCCCAGCAGGCTCCTCTGGGCCTGGCCCTGGCCCTTCCCAGCCCGGAGCTCCCCTCTGCTTCCTGGTCGCAGAGAAGCGCAGCCCTTCCAGACCGATGTCAGTGTTGTGGTTAGAGTAGGCTCCAGTCCATCCAAGGTGGAAGGAGACATGGCTGAGTGCTGGGGAGTCTGGCTCTAGCATAGGCAGGTCATGTGGGTGATACTCGGCATGCGGGTCAGAGCTTTGCAGCGGGCCGTCTCGGAGGAAAGGCCTGTTTGTGGCCTTTGCTGATTTTGGTGGTGTAAATTGTCCCGTGCACGCCTGATTTCAGAATACTAATGTGATGTCAACCACTTGAAGACTTCCTGCAAACAACGATCGGCTCTTGCTGGCCAGTCAGAGCCCTTGGGAACACATCCCTCTAGTAAACGTGCTGTTCTAAAGGTAAACAGAGCAAAGGGGGCTCCAAGTTTACCTGTGATCCGTCAGCTTAGCCAGACACAAGGAAGAAATTCTTGTCATGGTGGTGGTGTGTGGGGGGCAAAAGAAAGGATTCTCCCCCAACCAGAGAAGTGGTATATAGACTAGGGAGTGGAGGTAAGGGGTTCTGGCCCCCAGAGTGGACAAGCCCAGTGACACTTCTGTAGGAGGACTGACTACCTTCCTCCCCAATGATTCGCAGCCCAGACTGATGGATTATTTTTCCATGAGAAAAGTGGGAGTCACTGAGAAACCGTGATTAGGCCTAAGAAACCCAGCGTACAGCCAACTTTTCTGAAGGAGGAAACTGTTGTGAACAAAACTTAGGAGAGTGCTCTAAGGCATGGAAGGAAAACTCTGGAGCAAGCTGACTTAGAGATGAGCCGTAGCAGAAGAGAGTAGATCAGTAAGGGATGGGGGAGCAGCTGTAAGTGTAGCCTGGAAGATGTCTGAAGGTCTTAGTGGACCACAAGAGCTAACAATGCTTTCTATTCCAGGAAGACATCAGCCAGCACAAAGATACCTGACTCAGATAATCAACACCTGGACCCTGGAAGTCTAGCATTCAAAGAGTCAGGTAGCTGGGGCTCTGCATTTAGAAAGTGTGGGAGTGAGGAAGGGTGTGGGGAATTGGGGACCCCTGAGAGAGAGAGAGAGGAAGGCTGGGCAACAAGGGGTGTTCAGCCTCCACTTCATGGAGATGTCGCGAGGACAGACAATGCTGTTATAAGGTGGAGAAAGCTTTATTCCCGAGTTTTAGGTGGGACGTGGGTGTGGGCATGCCCAGACCACACAGGCCAGGGTTGGAGAGCCAGAAGATGGGGAGAGGATTTGGCGTGCTTGACACTTGAGGCTTTGGTGGAACTACCGAGTATCCCAAGACGCCACGCATGGAAGGGAGCAGGGGCAGAGCTCTGTGGCCAGGACGGGGATGGGCAGAACTGGGGAGACCGTGAGGAGCCTGGGCAGAGGCAGAGGAAAATGGGAGGCCCAGGCTGTGGGGGCTGGGCTGGGGTAGAGAGGGGGCTCTGGGTGGGACCTGGGACAGGGTTGGAGACATATGGGTTCCTAGGAGAGTTCAGGAGTGTGGTTAGACCAGAGGAAGGACATCGCCAATGACGGAACACCAGCCAGTGAGCCGTGTCCTTGAGCGTCTCCAGGGCCAGCCAGCCAGCCAGGGACGAATGGTTCCAGAAAACCTTGCCTGCAGATGCGCGGCCTGGTGTTGCTCAGCTGGTGCTCACACCTGAGCAGCTGTGGCTCCTGCGCTTGTGACGGGCAGGGCGGAGGGCTGACCAGTCCTCTTCACCGATGGATAAACTGAGGCCCGGGGTGGAGGAAGGAGCTCCCGTTTAGCTGCTCCTGTGAGTGCTCTGCTCGCTCCCATGGCGGGGCGGCGGGGCCGCTGCTGTCCTGGGGGCAACCAGGGCGCTGGCCACTCCCCTCTGTGGCCCAGTGTTCACAAGAGGGGGGACATTCAGATTTTCTTCCCCATTCTTTTAATTACAGTATTACTGTTTCCGCCACTGCTAAGGGCATGGCTCGGTGGCATTAAATACGTGCAGACGGCCCGCCTTCGCCTGCAGACCTTTTCCATCTTCCTGAAGGACTGTGTCCCCGCCGAACCCTAACTCTGGGCCCCTCCCTGGCCCCCAGCACCCCCTCTTCCACTTCCTGGGGCTGTGGCTCTGCGACCTCAGAGACCTCCTACAAGTGGAATCCTGCAGTATTTGTCCTTTGGTGTCCGGCTCTTGTCACAGCACAGTGTCCTCCGGCTTCCCCCACACTGTGGCAGGCATCCGGCGCTTCATTCCTTTTTATGGCTGGGTAATGAGATAATACTCCGTTGGGCGAGTGAACGGGCCACACTGTGTTTATCCATTCATCCACAGATGGACATTGGGCTGTGTCCACTTTGGGGCTCTGTGGGTCCTGCTGCTGTGAATGTGGGGTGCAGGACATGTTGGGGTGGGGGCTCAGGCACGAGGGCCACGTGTGTCCCAACACCCTCTGCTGAGAGCCGTCAGCTGCCCCCCGCACCCCCGAGCACCCGCCCCTGTGCCCACGAGCTGGTTGGTCCCTGGAACAGCCTCCCCACCTCTCCCCATCTGGTTCCCTGGAGCCCAGGTCAGTGTCACCTCCACAGAGAGGCCCCCCCCCCGCCCCGTGCCTCCCCTTTGCCACAGCTCGAATCTGCCAGTCCCACCCAACGGAGCCTTTGCTGGTACCGTTCTGGGGGCTGGGATGACCTCCAACTGCACCTGTAAGATTCAGCCGGAGAGTGAGCACTGTCCTGAGCACTGTCCTGAGTTCCTGACACGATGGCCACCCTCACCCCGCCCCCGGCCCCATCCCCTTCCTGGTTTGGCTTCCCCGGGACTTCATCACCCATCAGACTAAAAGATTTCTTCCTATAGTTTATCCTGGCTTTCCTCCGGCGTCCCTGACACAAGGGCCAGGGTTGCTTTCGGTTTGCTCGCTGCTGTATCTCCAGCTGGTACGGCAGCGCCCAGCACGCGGCAGGCACTGGCAGATTGGGGTTGGGGATGAATGGATAGCCCAGTGCCGCCATCTGCCCTGTCTGAAATGGTGTTGGTGGGCCCCTGCTTCGGGGGGAGCATGGCCAGCTCTGCAGCCCCATGCATCCTGCACACCTCGCTGCACATCGTCGGTGGCCCTGAGATGGCGCCACGGCCACATGACCGGCAGGGTTATGTGCTCAGGTGACGAGGTGCCCAGCCAGCACGCCTGGCATGGCTCCAGCATACAGTAGGCGCTCCGTAAATCTTTTGTTGAACGTTGGATCACGCCAAGGTCCCCACTCTCTCGGAGCTGGGGAGCCGGCCTCTAGGGCCTTGCTTAGGGCCGGTGCCAGGGTCTTCATTGGCTTTTCAGGATTTCCTGTGGCACCTGCCAGGTCCTAGCCACCCCGTCCTGGGGACAGCGACATCTCAGAACACATGCCTGCCCCTTGGGTCACCTGGGCAGTGACCCAGGTGCCAGGAAAGGCTGTTACACAGAGGACACTGGGGAGGCAGCAGTCTGGACCAGTTCGGCCCGGCAGAATCCTCCAGACTCCCCTCTGCCCTTGTCCCTGACTCCTCACCATCGTCACCTGCTCCGCCGCCCAGCCCCGGGGAGATGCGTGCTGCCTGAGGATAGGACCTGTGTCTTACCCACCACTGTATCCCACTGTCCAGCACAGGGCCTGGCATACAGCAGTTGCCCAATAAATGCTTATCAAATGAGCTGGGGAGGCCAACCACCGTAGTTGCAGGGAGGAAGTGGGTTGGGGGAGCCTGAGGCTAGCCATGGAGTATAAGGGTGACCCAGGATCGGGGGCAGGTGGGGAGGGGAGCACCCACAGAACCAGCCCCTCACCTTGGCCTCTGTATGAGGGTGCTCTCCAGCAGCCCCCTCCTCCCAGTGCTGGGAATAGCGCATCAGCTGGGGGCTGTTCGGGGCAGGCAGGGTGCGACAGGGGGCTTGCCCTGATGCGGAGGGGTGGTTCTGACTGCAGTTTAACCCCCGGCTGTCTCCTGCCCTTCCCACCAAAGCAGGTTTGGCGTGGGGGGCCAGTAAAACACCAGTGATCCTTTTTGGTGTCGCAGTCTCCAGGGTAGGTGGTCCGTTGCTGACTCCCGCCACCCTTCCGGCCTCGGGGGGAGGCAGCAGCCTCAGGGGCCCCCCACAGGCTGTGGGGGCAGAGCATGTTGGCCAAGCTGGGGAGCTCCAGAGAGGCCAAGGTGGTGTACCCAGCGGGATGCACTGAGGGTCGGTCTAGAGGGCCCCACCTCTCCCAGCCCCAGACTCCCCCTCTTCTGCAAGGAGCCCTCTTTCCTGAGTCTCTGCAAGGCCCACTCCCACTTGTCCTCCAGGGCTCTGTTTTGAGGTCCTCCATTTCTGGGCAGCCTTCACTGGTGGCCCCACCAGAGTCAGGTGCCTCCTTGGGCCCCTGAGACTCCCTGCTCCCCCGCACCTAGGATCTTGGGTGAAAACCATCCATCCTCTGGACCAAGAGCCCTCCGGATCTACTGTGTCCGGTCCAGTCACCTGCCTCTGGATTGAGGTTCAAATCCATGCTCCGCCCCTCCCCCCAGCTCCACCCCTACCCCTCAGGCCCCAGTTTCCTCAGCTGCAGAGTGGGAACGGTGGTAAGGGGATTTGAGGCTGAGATGCAGCGATGGCAGGGCACACCATACGCTCCCGCTGTTTCGCACCCCTTCCCAGCACCTGGCTTGTTGATCAAATGAACAAAAGGATAGAGATACACAGTGAGCCTGTGCCCCCTGCTTGGGGTGGGGGCATCACAGGAGCAGGGAGCTGAGTCAGGGAGGAACTCGTGGGGACCCCGGGTCACAAGGTCTCATCTGGTGCATCCCCAGGCTCCCTGCTCCAGTGGAGCCCCGCTGCCCTCTGACCGGAGTGCAGGGGCCAGGCTGGGCGTGGGGGATGGCACCCCAGCCCTGCCCAGGAAGCCACGTCAGTCAGCCACCTGGGCACCGGGCTGGCCCCACCTGGGCTTCTCTGCAGTCCAGGTGAGGGGTGAGTTGTTCACCACCGAGTGACAGGACCCACATGACAGGCGGCCACTGGGGGGCTGATTCACAGCTTTCTGGGAAGTGAGTTAACGGGATCCCAGAGCCCAGGGCTCAGTCAGATCTCCTGGCTGAGTCATGGTGGCCCTGGAGGAAGGAGCCGTTACTGAGCCTCTGGGCAACCCCCTTTTCCCCAAGACCCTGGGACCTTAGCAAGACCCCATACCCTAGCCTCCAGCTGCTACAGACCCAGACTTTCCCTTCCCCTCCCAAACTGGGGACCTTTCCTAGTCAATGTCAAGGCCATTGGCCTAGATCTCTGGGTCTGGGTCCTGTTCCTCCAGGGGGTAGATCCTGGGCCCACAGCTAGAGCCAGGGTCCTGAGCCCCTAAACCAGAGCCCTGAGTCCACTCCTCCAGGGCAGAGGTAGGGGTCTCCGCTAGAGCCCCCAGTCCCCTTAACGGCTCATTTCCTCCCAGCAGTCCCAGCCCTCCTGTGACCTACAGCCCGGGGTGGCAGGGACTGAGCCACTTACTTACTTGGGGGACTGGTCCAACGGCATTCCACCTCCCAGGATAAAACCTGGGGTGACCTGTAGGGAACTCTGCACACTCCTGTCACAGGCAGGACTGCTCTCCCATCTGTGCCCGTGCCCCCACTGGCTATGGTAGTTTGCAGAACTCCCCCAGCCCAGGGTGGGGGCTCTCTCAGGATCTTAACCCCCCTGCTGCTTCTGGCTTCTGCAGGTGAGTCCTGAGGACCTGCCGCCCCTCCTTCCTCTGCCCCGCCCCCGGGCCACCCCTTCCCTTCTCCCTACTCAGCACCTTCCTGCCCTCTCTCCCGGCCCTGCCTGCACCCGGTCTCTGTGCCTCTCCCCCTTGCCTTCTGTGCTGCTTGCTCCTCTCTGCCATGTCCTGTGGCTGCCAGCAGGACTGCAGGACGCACTGAGGCAGGCGCTGGGCAGACCCGAACAGCTTCAGCCCTCCCGTTGCTGCCCCCTCCTCCTCGTCCTCCCCCTCCCCTCCCTCTCCTCCCCCTCCTCCCCCCTCCCCCCTCCCTGCTCTCAGGTCCACACGCTTCTGTTCCAGGCCTTGGGCTTGGGGTTGAGAGGGTCTTGGGCCACAGACTTGGGTGTGGGGGGGAGCCTGAGAGGGTCAGGCGTGTGCTCCCCAACTCCTCCGTGAGAGGCGCCCAGGAGCTAGCTGCCCTTCGTCCTCCGCCAGGCGGGTGGGATGGAGCACAGCTGGTGGGAGGGTAAGGCCACAGCTTAGAGACGGAGCCCAAGGTTTCTGTCAGCCCTGCCCAGGCTCCAGGAAATGCTCCACGATGGGGGTCTGGGGAGCTGCCCTGGACACTGGGGGGCTCCTCTCCGCTGGCCTGACCCTTCCTTCCCTTGCCCTCAGCCTCCCTCCATGCTGCCAAGATACCTGGTGAGTGGGGCCGCCCTGAGCGGTGGGGACGGGGGAAGTCTGTGTCTGTCTGGGCGGGGGGG